AAACATTTATTGTGTTAACTTACTCTGCTTTTCATTGGATCCGTGTTCACTTGGCACATGTAGCTGCCCGAATCGTTAAGCTGTACGTGGGATATGTGAAGTTTCCAGGTGTTGTGGCCATTGTGTGTCACTGATAATCTTGGATTTAGAGACACCATATGGGTGTGAATACCGAGTATTGCTTTTGAATCGGATTTAATCCATGCAACCTAAAAATATACATACAGAATAAGTAAATATAAATACATAAACATGGTAAAGATCACATATTGCATAAATATACACATTATAAGTAATTTAGTAACGTAATATGTCAGTATGTATAGTTATAGCAAGGAGCTATCTATGTATCTGCATATGTTGGCAAACCGATTACAGTTGACCAAAAACATAACATTAAATACTGAGTGCGTATGACGCATCTTGCAAAATATTTCATGGGCTTTTATTACTGCAATGCCACAATGCGGAGCACTTATTCAACCAAGTGGATACTTCAAGCCAAATAGAAAAGCTGATTTGCTTTTCAAATTATTTCCGAACTCCCTTCAGGTGAGTTTGTGTAGATTCAAAAACAATAGTCATTTGTCACGGATAATGAAACAACTATTGCACATACCAATGTTCTTCAAAACATTGCGGCAAGTGAATCAATATGGATTTTCACGCCGATGAGGCCATATTACCAGAACTTAAAAGCAAAATAATAAATTAAACTTGCAGCTTCACTCTTTACTATGAAGTTCTTTTCATAGATTTTTAGAATAACAACTGCATAGTAGTATGTATTAAAAAGTTTATTGTAGTACATATTTTTGTCAAATTTAATGAAAAACGATTGAAAATATGCAAAAAGAACTTCAAATTTGTTAGTTAATTTTTTTTGGTTCTATATGGTTCTATATCCTCTAGAATGAAATATGGTCTTTAAACGGTCAATGAGGCTATCGCACACTGTCCGTAAATGGTTTGGCACATTCTCGGCTTAGCGGTTATTTCAGACGATCGACATTTTGTTTATTTTTAGTGCCAACATTACTTTTTAAAATATCCCAGATCAAGAAGTTTAAAGGGTTTATATCAGGTGACACGGTGGCCACTGAGTTGTTAGAATAAAATACGGGAAGTTGTTTTTCAGCGATGCTCATCTGCCCAGGGTTTTAGAGCTGTGAATTAAATAATTTCCCGATAGATTTAGGAGTTTATTTTTATTCAAGGGTTGATGAACACGAGCGGAAAGCGACCAACAGCAGTTACGGCGGCCCATACCATCACCATTGGTGGCGCCTGCCTTCTAGTGGTCATTCTTGTGCTTACGTTTTCAGCTAACCACTTTGACAAGTAAACTTGATCAATTTGCTTGTTTACGTACTGCTCAATGACGAATGATGACTCATCAGAAAAAACGAAATTCGATAACCCACCACCTCGGCCAAATAAATCAACCTCGCCAACCAAGACTCTTTCGACTCTATATTTTTTTTATTTATCGCTGAGATTAAACACTTTGTTCAACTTCAATTTTCGCCAGCAGCCCTGTATTATCGTTAGCCAAAGAAGTCATTGATAAGTTCAAAAACCTATTCCAGAAGTATCTCAAGCGCAATTAAGTTCATAAACCATAAAGAAAAATATTTTGAAAATAATTATAAATATTGTCTAATGTCACATCTCCAATCTTTTAGTTAAAATATATTCACACAAATAATATAATCCTAATACCATACAATGATGAAAAAATAAAGGAAAAAATATATTACAATTATTTTTATGTGAAATATATGTATTTCACTATATATATCTATTTATGTGAATTCTTTTAAAATAACTTTGATTTAAATATTTGTCAGTATATAAGCCGGTACAAGTCTATATCACGCAATACTAACATATGTATTCAGTATTCAGTATGTAAATAATATTAAGTATATAAAAATATAAAATAATAAATAGATAAATAAATAAGTAAACAGATAAGTAAAGAGATTAATGCATAGACACAAAAATGAACTCTTAAATAAATACAATACAATAAATTATATAAATAAATTCAAAATGAATAAATAAGTGAACTAAAAAAAATATATTCAAAATGAAAAAATCAAAAATATGTAAAATATATTTGAATAAAAATTAAAATATGTAAATAAAATAATGTTCAATAAAAATAGATATTATTTTAATGAAAATATCTTTTGCAATATTTTTTCCGCATTATTTGGACACATTGCAGCTGGCAGGCATTGAAAGGCATTTAAATATATTATGATAATATATGTATATTAGATACATCGACTCAGGATTGACCCAGTATTCTTCTATATGATAAATAACAATTGGAATAACTTAAAGACAGGCACAATGTACATGACTTTCAAACATTTTATGAAAAAAGCACCAATTGATTTTCAAAAAGATACCGGTACCGGTACCGGTACCGGTATTGGAGTTTTGTAAAATCACTGGCGGCGTGCCCAGGTTATTAACTTTAAGCAAAGATAAGTACCCTGTGTATTATTGTCTAACAAAATATTGATAGCAAAGATAAGTAAAAAAGTTTAAATAAAACCATAAATAAGCGTTACCTGAAAATATATATATCAGTTCCAAAACACTTGCACAAAATCTGGAAACCGATACATCTTCCACAAGTAAATTTGGCAAATTTTTTGAGAGAGTAATTCTAAGTAGATTAAAAGAAGCCAAGCATTAAGTATAGAGTACTGGACTACGAACTGTGCTAAAAAATTTTTCAGATCGCAGCCTAATAACCGAGCCTTACTTATCAGTAGTTATCTAAAGAATAGAGACAAAAAAGTCTTATTCAAGAAAAATTAAAGTTGAAAAAACACAAAACTCTCTTTTGGCACTGATCACAAACAATTTGTGTACTGACATTCCAATGGAAATGGAAAACAGAATCACATTACCTTTGTTTGATGATGTTACTTGCATAAAGCCCCGTGTTGATAACGCTGAGATCATGATAAACAATTTACGAACATACATAGACGAAACAATGTCATATTTAAAGAAGCGGAAATTTAAGGCAAATACCAAATCAAAGCCATATTTATTAACAAGAAAAGAAATTAATGCTCAAGAAAACTACTATATATAAGGTATGAGACCTAGTAAAACATCCGTAACTTATTTTCGAAAAAAAATTTTATGGAATGTAGAGTTCAACTTTCAATTCTTTTGCAACACATGGCAGATATTGTGGACTTGAAAGTTTTGCAAATATCATAACTAAAAAATATAGTCAGCGGAACCTAAACAACATCTATATTTATTAGTGAATTACCCGAGTAAATAACTTCTTAAGAGCGTAAAAGTGGATAAACTAAAGACTAAACCAAAGTTTAGTATAAAATCACAATAAGAGAAATGAGTATGGCATATAAGTAAGCACAAATTATAACTCAATCTCTTTTTACAATATATCAAAATGGTTTCTAGCCATGCTAATTAATAGCAGACCAAGGCGGTAGACCTTTATATTTCTTAATATTCGAAATAAAGATGGAATATTAGAGCTTTGGGAATCAATTTTAAAAATGTTTTCGTATTGCCAAAGTTATCCCTATAGTTTTTGATCATTAATACCATCAAATTATGTATCAAATAAGAATTTAACTATATTATTAAAATTATGTTTGATGTTTCTTGAAAACCACATGGTTATCGCATAAATTTTTTTAAATGCACTGCCCGGAATAATTATTAAATAATCTATGTCGCTTCTGGTGATTGGCGGAATATTGGTTGGTTATACACAATATTATATAAAATAAAATATCTATATGTTTGCAAAAAAAAAGAAACAAATTAATTAAAGATTATAAAAAAAAAATTGACGAATTAGAAACGAATAAAAACTTAATAAATAAAATTAAATTAAATAATAAAAAAAATACAAGTTTCCAATTAACAAAATTTAAATTAAATATAACAAAGTCGAGAATAGATATTGAACTTAAATATCAATGCATTTCTGTACTTTTCTGTTTTTTAATAAAATTTATAAACATATGCCAATCTACATATGCTCTATCAGACCCAATAGCTCACCCATGGGTCGCCGATGAATTCATTTAAAAAAAGTTCATGATCTACCCTTTTTTGCACTTATGTTTTTTTATATATACGGATCCTTTTTACTCTGCAAAATATAAACAGATGTTTCTTTTCAGTTGTTTCCTAAACCAACATAGCGTGTATTAAAGTCCTATAGTACTCTCTAATGAAATTATTTAGTTTACGAAACCATCCAGTGTTTTTTTGCCAACCAACTCCTTTGACTGTTAAAATATGTTGTACTCACTGCCCATTGTATTAAAATAGGCAACATCATATATACTTTAAATGTAAGTTTAAAATATATACGTGTGCTATATTAACATCGGATTCTTTATCAATATGGAACAAGAGAAGTTTACTCTTAATATATTAAATATGAAATCAAAGCCGGAAATAGTAAACAATAGCCAAAGTAAGAAATTTTCACTGAACTCATTGTTGAACACAGTTGGGTCTCAGGATAATTTAACTTAGACTTCTTGTTTTTTTTTAGTTTTATATTATCCACTATACACAATGACGGCCAAAGGATTTCAGAAACTAGATAGCTTGTACTTATTTTGGATTGGAAAAGACATAAATGCGAAATGGAACAGACAGTGGCTGATTAGATGCTAGTGGATTAGAAATTTTCACTAACTCGATTTAGGTGTAGTGGATTATAGATCATTAGATCGATTTGTAATTTTGGATAAAATGGATTCACAAATATTATGCTATTTTTTTACTATATTTTTCGCAAATAATTGGAAAAGTTATTAATTTTCGAGAAGATTGACCATTCT